AAAAGTTTATAAATTAGCTTAGTTAATAACATCATTATACCTTATAATTTGTAAAACGGTTCGCTTTCGTGTCAACTCAGTCTCATTCAACTCGGACACCCTATAAACTACTTTTCCATTGTTACGTAATAATAATACGGGCAAAATATAGAAGTTAATAACTCTTCTTTTGTAAAAAAGCTGGAATTTTTATTGCGATTTAGTAGACGGTAAATATAGAATAGTTTCTTAGAGTAAACAGAAAAAATATGTATTATGAACATTTATGTTATGTAATTAATGTTAACTTTCAATAGGTGTTACAATTTTAGATACAATAAATCCCATCATTAATATATACTCGGAGAGATTAAGGGACAGTGAGAGAGAGAGAGAGAGAGAGAGAGAGAGAGAGAGAGAGAAAAGAAAGAGAGGGAGGGAGAGAGAGAGAGAGAGAGAGAGAGAGAGAGAGAGAGAGAGAGAGAGAGAAAAGAAAGAGAGGGAGGGAGAGAGAGAGAGTATAAAAAGAGAAAATATATATTCAGAGATATATTATTCTAAAAAGAATTACTAATACATGAGATTATATTCCAACTGACTATTTGATCAATTACAATGAGCAAATAAATAGATAATACGTACGTAAAAAGAATAATTACCAAGTGGTTATAACGTAATAAACTCAAGAGTTCTCAATTCTCAATTCTCAATTCAATTCCATCAAGAACACTGGTAATCGGTGGCCCTCAGAGGACCTGAATCGAAGGAGAAGGGTAACCCCCAGCCGATTAAGAATAGGCCATGCGAGGTTGACACACATACTGTTAGGCCGAAACCTGCGTATTCCAGCATTCAGAGAAAGGTTGAGGTAGAGCGCAAAGAAATGCCATCCGATATGAGAATTGAGCTTGAGCACGGCAGCGAGTATCTGGTCCGCTCTTCCGATTCTTGGAGGAAGCAGGGTTGTTTTATAGTATTTAGTAATGATAATTTTCAAGCGTGTGTTGAGAGTGAATGTATATATTGGCGAGATTGGGTAATATAAAAGGGCCGATGGTGGAATATTGAGTAGCCCTTGGACCCTTAACTAAGTTAGTTATATAATAAGTATAAAGGGTGATGGAGGAATATCGAGTACTCCATTACCCAAACTGAGTGAATGGTATATAAATAAGTAAGAATGTATTTAAGGGTAGGGGAGAGTATGAACGGATTTATGAATTGGTTGCGTTGGGGGCTGATATAACCTACCTGTTGGTAGCTCCCGGAGCTCAACCTTGGCGGATGAACGGATAAGACAGAGGTCTGACCTCGGACTTCCATCAGCCGGGGTGAGTGATTCTTGAGGCCTTCCTTTATTGGTACATGTAATTGTCTTAAAAACAAAAAACCAATAGAATATTCGCCCACGGTGGTGTTGAAATGGCGACTAAGGGTACACCGACCCTGAATTTGAACCTATCATCCTGACAACTGGGCATGTTTAAAAAAAAACACCGGCAAGCAACAGTGAGTTTTTTTATTACCAGCTACATGTATCGGTGTTTTAGCTTGGTGTTATTTATTATGTGCTATTTCTATGTCAAAAACAAGGATAATTGAGACCAAAACAGTAGTGCTAATAAACTGATATATCTTGTTAAAACCTAAAAAAAAATCATAATTTTCATTAATAACTTGTCCAAAACGATTAACGATTTTGGCTACGAGTTATTTCGGTGTTTTCATTGGGTAGACATGTACGATGTCTACTTCAGAAACAAGAATACCTAAGAGCTTAAGTGTTCAGCTAAACTGATATAATTAGGTTTAATTGGCAGATCATAGACGATCAGTAGGAGGAATACGGTAAATTGACGATAAATTCTCGCACAGCTTGGTTTGTTCTCTCGTGTCAATAAAAGATTAGAGTTTAAAAGCTCTTTGAAGGGCCGAAACTGTTGACTGGTTGGGAACGTTGTAACGATACTCGCGGAAATTACGATCTTGAGGTAAGGGCGAAGTGAAATTACTACCGGTGAAAAAAAAGTGGGATTGGCCGTTAAAAACTTTTGTAAATAAAGATCGGGCTTACGCCTCTTGGAAAAATGCCTCTGAGATTAGTTAAATTGCCTGTTCTACCGAACGCTCAGCCACCCCGTTTTATTAAAAAGTTGTCCTCCCTTCCTCGTAGCATTGCGTGACTCCATTCGGGATTTAGCCTCCCTTCATTTTATCGCCTGACTGCTGTACGTACAGATATATAAATAAATAAATACTGTTTTGGTATTTAAATGTTTAACTAAATGGTAGATGTAATGGAGCCACACTGAATTGAAATAAAATATAAAAAAAGTTTGAACTGAAGTGACAACTTTCAACAAACCAACCACACGGAATTAGAAATTATACTTTTTCATGTCTTACATAAAATTAATAAACCTCTAAATACTTAGTGTAACATACCATTCAAATTGCACAAAATACACATGTACAACATATCATGTTTGTATATTGCATATGCTGTGTATATATAGTTTGTCATACATCGTACAAAAGAGGCAATTTTTTTTACGAAAATAGTGTGTTCCGGTCCAAAATTGGAATATTCTTCATTTGAAGAAATAAATAAAACAGCTGGGCACCAGTGGTTTTGTTTGTAAAATACTCTCAAATCATTAAAAAAATAATACCTTTATTAAAAACAAACAATACTGCAAAACCGTATTTCCGGATGTTACGGAAGAACTTGACAGCGTATGGCACCCCGGCCTCCTTTATAAGTTTAAACGTATCCTCCCTCATTCCTACTACATTATCCTGAAATCCTTCCTCTCGGATCGATGGTTTAAAGTGAGAATCGGCCATCATCTATCATGCCGATCAAAGCTGGCGTTCTACAAGGAAGTATCATAGGATCAATCCTCCACACCATCTACACACATCCAAACACACAACTCACAACCTACGCGGACGACACCCCAATCTTATCAACACACTCTAATCCTATCCTAGCAACAGAAGCAATCCAACAACACCTGAACCTCATTACCAACTGGAGCATCTGTGGCAGATCAGGTTAAACGAACAAAAAAGCCAACAAGTTACGTTTACGCCCAAACGTCAAACCTGTCCACCACTGCACATTTACAACACGATAATACCGCCATTGAACCAAGTCCGCTACCTTGGGCTTTACTTAGATAGTAGACTTACATGGAACCCACATACAAGATTAAAACGGCAAGAACATAACAAAAGATATGGGCTAATGAGACACCTACTTGGACCAAGATCAACACTAAGCATACGTAACAGCTTACAAAACACTCATCAGACCTATTTGGACCTACGGAGTCGAGATGTGGGGCTTGGCCAAATCATCCAATATCCAAGGAATTCAATTATTTCAATCTAATCTTCTCCGCCGTATGTTCAATGCTCCCTTCTATGCCACCAATCAAGCGATCCATAAAGATCTTAAATCCCTTTCGTGAAAGATCTTATCCGAACACGCTTCTTCACTTTCCACTATAAACTATCCCTCCACCCTGACCCACTAGCCTTAACTCTTTCCTCAACGTCTCGCCCTTACAATCCTCCACGCCGTCCTTTAAAACGACGATGGCATCGTGACCTTCTATCTAACCAATCCAATTAAATAAAAGAGAGTTCCAGCACTGGTTGGTTTCTCTCCCCACTGCCTCCTGGTCTGACAGGTCTGTCAGATTTGTTTATAACAAAACTATTTTCTTAATGTATGTTTTGTATAAATAGCAATAAATAAAATAAAATACTTTTTTGAAGAAAAAAATAACAAACAAAATTGACATATTTCCTTCACAATTAACTAAATTAACTAAAATTAAATAACTTTAGTTAACCATCAAAATTATCAAAAATTAACAGAATTGTGCGCTCAGCACTCATGTCGCACATACATCTCGGCTGGTCATGAGGAGGAAAATCCGGCGAAACGCCGGCACCTTTTCTCCTTTCTCTCCTCGGACCTGCCGGGCTCAACTTATCTCTCATCTGTCCCTCCTCCTACGCTCCTTATCCTCTCCGCTCCATAAAGTCTATTTATTTTTATAAGTTCAAATTTTATGGTACAAAAACCAACCCACGTCCTATGTTCGACAAATTTGGGCCTGACATAGGCTGCCAAAAGGCATTTATACCCTGGCTTTTTTTTTCTTCTTTCCAAGCTGGTGGGGATGTCCCTTAAATATTTAAACAATGGGTAACAAGTTATTACTAATGTATGCAGTCTAGTAAAATAAATTTAATAGGCTAAAATTAATAGATGGATTCTTACAAATGCAAAACGTGTACAGGGGACCCGACAGCCCACTCTCGTGCCCAAGTCATTATGTCGGGTGCATGCCTACTCGCTCCCTGTAAGGAACCAAGGCGTGGCACTCTACGACCGGGACGTGTGTTAATCGGGTAACGAGCATGATCCCTTTATTGCGTTTCAGACCTTCCCTCAGTCGGTTTTTAGCAAAATAATTAAATAAATAAAAAAAACAATAGAAACAACATTAATCACAATATATTCTTTAAGCGTATGTACTTTTCAGAGGCCTGAATAAAGTTCTCCATAACAAGTAGAACACTAAAAACACTGATATTTAAAATTAAAATAAAACTAGATAAACAAGTTGATGTACAAATACAATAATAATATACATACTATGTTGTTTTTATTAGTTTATTTGTAGTTCACTTATGGTTATAGTCATGTATGTTAAACATTAAAAATACTAAACAGATTTTTTATCCTATTGTTAGTTGAAAAGTACCACTTTTGTAAATGAACTATAAACCGCTCACTTTTAAGAAAATTTCTAAAACAAAACAGTTTTGCAGAACAGTCTTTCTTCTTTTATTATTCAGGAGATTTGACAGTTACGTTAATTTATGTTAATTTGTCATTAATTACAATTGACAAAACAAAACAATAAGATATTTATAATTACTTAATACACATAATCTTCTACATATTATTGAGGTTGTATTTATGTTAAATAAAAATGAAATACGACTTGAGAAATATATTTTAAAATAATCTCTATTTCTCAGGATGCAGGTAGGGGGGTATTATAATTTTGTTCTTCGCAAGTGGTAAATCGTGCTTGCAAAGAACACTCGGCACTTTGTGCTTAATGTTATCGATGAGAGCTTTGATGAAATCGGACGTGGTTGCTTTTCCTCCGATGTCTGCCGTCCTCACACCTTGTCGAAAAGTCTCATCAAGTCCATCCACTAAATAATCGGCATACAACTGCAAATAAAATGTTAACGTTATTTGAAATATACAGAAATTATTTCCACCTCCGGCTTAGTTTACGCAACAGGTCTGAAATGTTTTTCAGATCAAAAATATTTGGTAATTATCAATATTAACAGCGAAGTGCAATATCGCCTAAAATTTAAGACAAACTAATTTTCAAGTATTATATTTGTATAATGTAGTTACAAATGCGAGAAAAGCGGAGGGAAGAACGAATAACGAAAAGTTGCTTGTATGCACTTCAGCCTACGGTTTATTACGTTATACTGCGAAATGGATTTGCTGTTTATACCAGTAGAGAATACAAATAAAATAAAATGAAAACTAGAAAAAGTAAAATTACATATAATTTATTTATAATAATGTACCATATTGATTCTCTCATTAGATGTTAACTACCTTCTTGTTTTAAAATCCGATTGTGAACTTACATAAAAGTTCATTAATTTCCGAAAGGAACGAAAAAATAGCAACAAGACAAATTTGGAAAATAGTAGAACATATGTCATTTTTTTAGAATTTAGGATCGTTCATTTTGATTAATGCGTGCCTTTCTCTTCTGTAATGCAAATTTGTTTGGTATAATTTATGTTTTTACATGAAGAAGTATAATTAAAACAAGTAGAGGGATTAATCAATTAATTGAATATCTAATATAATGGCTTCCATTGCGAAAAAACGAAATACGTCTGACAGACCAACCCAGCGAGGTTGGGCATACCAAAACGTTCAGTACCGACCAAATTACACAAACAAGAGAGCCCAAAAAATCGAAGCGTTGAATTTGTTGTCGATCCTATCGACCGTGATCTTACAATTAGTCTACTGATGCCGTTTGTCTTGCTACATCAGGGTTAGAATGGTTAAGACAAGATTAATCTGTATGACCCTATTTTGCAGCACCTGTCAAGGAAATACATTTTGTTATAAAAAATTAATAAATACAGCCAATAGAAATGTACTAACGAAACCCCATTTAGTTTCGATAGTTAAACAAGCCTGGAAGTTCATCATTGATTTATTTTCTTGTGGTTTTCAAAAAGAATAAAACCTGATGTGACAAAGGTATGAAAATGGTAGCTTAATAAATTAGAGATTTGTTGCTAGTCCTGACCTCTGCTCCAACAGCATTAAGAACTGAAGCTCCGGCCAGCAAGAAAGGTGTTGGATTGGCTACATTTTTTTTCATCAGCTTGGTTCCCCGTATTCTCCCGGCCGGTTCAAAAACTATGTACCTTTCGCTGATCTCTCCAAAACAACCCAGAGTCACTCCACCTGGAATGTATGTACATAGTAAAAAAAGAGACTGATATCGAGCAGATTCGAACCTATCAGGCCGAGCAACATCGGCGCAATGAGCGAACCCGTCAGTCCGCTGCAAAGGATTAGGTCGAATTTTTCGGGGTTCTTAAACAGTGTCGTAATGACAGCGGTCTCGGATAAACTCTCGAATTTAATTTTCGGGTATCTGAAATATAGACGATTAATTTAATTCAAAAATGGACCAAGATATTAAAATTATCACCATCTATTTCATACTGTATACTCTGAGTTGAATTTTCTTGTTAATGTATAAGTTATTTGTACGTATGTCATCCTGATCCGCCTATTTGGACTAGTTATGTAGGTCATAGCTTAAAGATTGTTAAAGGATAATCTGTATTTTACAAAAGTCGTTTATAATAAGTAGGCAGTGGATTTTAATGTGCTAACATATTTCTGTTAAAGCCAAATATTAATATATTACAACATAACATTGATGTTTTACAACATTTTTAAGCAATTTATAACGTGTCAATGTTACATATTTTCACGTATTTTGGAGTAAATTTACTTTTATTTTTTAATTTTAGATATTTATATCACATATATTACTATGATATGGATTTAACTATTTTAATTCGCGATTTGAATGAAAGTATGGCATTAAAAGAAAAAAGTAAAACACCCTTTTTATTTTTACTTTAGAAACAGCCGATGTCCCTTTTTTAGTTTTACTTTAGAAACAGCCGATGTAAGTTCCAGACATCCGGCTCCAAATACCGTTAAATGCAAAAGCAATAAAAAGCAATAATAAAAAACATATTTTTTAAATGCCGTCCAAGTCGCCCAAAAGTCTTTTTAATGAAACCTATTCATATTTGTGTCTTCCTATTGTTGTTACGAAATGGGGGTACATGGTTAGAGGCAGCGGAATTTACGACGAGAAATTCTACAAAGCAAAAAATAGAAAATCATGGAGACATAGAACATCTGACATCTTGCAAGCGAATCCAGGAGAAACTTGAGGACCAGAAATTAAGTTAAATCGAAATGAAATTTCAAGTTTTAAACTCGCTCCAATAAATCGATCGCTCCTTTCTTTATTAGATACAAATCCACTTCAAGACCTGATAGGTCGCCTTTTCAATTTTGAACATTTAAAAAATGATGACAGTCCCAAAAATTTTGAAGAATGAAATTAGTTCCAGTTTTGTTTTGTTTGTTATTTTAAAATTGCTCTTTTCATCATACCCACTGTATTTAAAGATTTTCTAAAGGCATTTCTGTACATATTTTGAATTTGGTAATACATAAAAATCCGCTCCCTAGTAATAAGCCATTTATAAGTTTTCGAATATTTGAAGAAAGATTAACAATTTCATGTTAATTTAACACACATTCTAATTATTTTGAAAATACTTTGTTGAAGTCGTGAGGAGCGGTCAAGAATGAGGGAGTCTAGAAAAACACCTTTTTAATTTTTTGCCGATTTTCGACCTTTATTCAGGCCATTTTCAACGCCTGGGTAAATTATAAAACATATGTTGATTGGAAAAAATACAATTAAGATGTAAATATCGGTACAAATTGTATTTTTTCCAATCAATATATGTTTTGTAATTTGCCCAGGTCCTGAAGATGACCCGAAATAAGGTCGAAACGTCGGCAAAAAAATAAAAGTTGTTTTTCTTAACTACCTCATTCTTGACCGCCCCTCACTACTTCAACAAATTATGAACCAGTCACTAAGAAACACATATTTTGAAAATATTTTTCAGCCAATAAGCTGAGAAGTTGTGACGATAATATGTTCGAGTGGGGAGACCCTAAGGTTGAGGAAGGACAGGAAAGATATTGTTGTTGTTGTTCGGATATTGGCTGAGCGTGTTCAAACGAATCTTCCTTCCTCTTATTCCTCTCGAAAGATTTTTTTTTTTTTTGTAAGTAAATTTTAATTTTTATTCTTCTATTCTGGACACATACATCAGAGTTTATTTTTCGTTCAATTCAAATTGTTATTTTTTATCAATAAAGAGTGTACCGTTTTATTTTGATTATCTTTTATTTTGGTCTCGTCACAAAAATTGAAGGCACCGGCGAGATCACTCATAATTTAGAGACAAATATTAGGAGTTATTTTCTTATAATATTATAGAAGATTTCTAGAACATTATATTATAGAACATTTCTCGATCAGATATGGGGAATGTCGAGGATAATCCGAGTTCGGTTGCATCCGAAATGTCGCAATTGGAACAAAACACCCCAAAGACACAAAAGTTAAAAATAAATAAGATGGCCGGATCCGAATTGATCCCATTATGTGAAATGGTTATGGGGAATGACCAATTCATGAACCTAATGAAGATTATTGTAGCGAACGCCTGCCAAAAAACGAAATTTCATTCCAAGCAGGTGAAAACCTTAATAATTGGCATTTGAAAGCCAATTTGAAAATACGGTAAAGAAGAAAGTGACGAAACAAGGAAAGAATCAGCCCAAAATTGAAAATCCGAAAGTTGTAATGGAAACTATTTCAACTCCAAACCCGAAAAGAAACGAGCGTTCGGAAAGCGATGATTCAAGTTCGGAATCGGATTCAGCAATTTCGGTGGTGGACAGACAAAAAGATAGAAGTTTGTACGCGCAGATGTTAAATGTAGCAAACAAAACTTCCACTTATTGCCCTGAATATCATTCAAGTTCCGAATCAGAGAGTAATCGGGAAGTGGTGTCGGAATATCGTAACGTCGCCACTGTAAAATTGTCGGGCCACATTCGAAGAAAATTGGATAAATTGCCGAAATTCACCTTGCGTGATGGGAAAGCACTTTCCAATTTTTAAAAGAATTATATCCTCATATAAAAGGCACAAATACTGACTTAAATCGATGTTGTTTCATATAGCTGACAACTTATCGGGATCGACTTCGAATGCAATTTTTAATGCTGCTCAGCATAAAAAAATTAACTTCGATAAGTTGCGGAACATTTTGCTAAATGAATTCGTTAATCCCACCCAACTATTTTCATTGAAGATTAAATGTTTGTTTAGAGTGTAATCATATAGATAAAATTTAAGGGATTTCGTGGACAATTCAATTTTGACAGCCAAAGTGTTCGGGGATGTAAGTGAAGAAGATCTTGTGGAAATAATTAAACAGAAAATACACCCGAGATTTTTAGCTCTCATGCGTTCAGGGATCGAGAATTTACAAGATTTATATGCCTAAGTAACTAGAATGGAAGAGATATATGCCAACCGACATGGCCATATAGATACGAATAATAATAATAACAATAATGATAAAAATTTAAGTAGTAAAACTACATTTTCAAAAACGCGCCGAAACAAAGACGATTTTTACTCGACATCAGATTCAGATGTCTCAACGTTGGCAAAATGTATCAGACCCAAAAAATTAATGGCTCTGGGCATAAAATATTTGAAACAAAGTGAAAAAATACACCCGAACGTATTTACGCTTCACAGGCCCGTAACGAAAACGGTGAGGAGATTAGACCGTCTTCCCAACCTCAAAATACAAATAGAGCTAAGCCGATACAACAAAATAATCAACAGTTTGTCAATCAACGTCAATCTGTACCTTACAATAATTTTCCTGCAAATAATTATTTTCCGGCTTACCCTAATGTTTTTCCTCCAGTATTTCCATTTTGGTCTTCACAAATGTTACCGCATTTTGTTCCTTATTACCATATTTTTTTACAAAATCAAAGAAATGGTTATCGCCCCTATATCAGAGGACATTACCGATCTGACAATAATATAAACAGATGGAACACAGGCCCTAGGAATTCGGCGAATAATTCACGCCGCGAACAAAGTAGACGAAGTAACAATTATTTTAATCAAAACAAATTCCGGCCTTTTCGAAAAGAAGATAGGAACCACTATGGGTTCCCAAAACAGCCGATATTTTTTATGCGTGAACCCCCGATGATTGATCCTATGCAATAAAATGTTCCATTTCATCCGTATAGTTTCCGTATTCCGAGGCGGTCAAACAGCACGCCCAAGCATCTACGTCTGAACAAAATCAAAATGCCTCTGTTTCAAAAAACTAATATGCGAGGGGTTTAGCCCGGCATCTCTTTTCAATGTTGCGAAATTTTGGTGAAAACATTTAATAAAGATATTTATGCGCTGTTAGACACGGAAAGTGTACGTTCATGCATTTCACTCAAATATTTAGAGAGCATGGATATTCAAATTAAGGCCTACACTTCGAGAGTCCAATCGGATTTGGTGGCAATTAACTCACAAATTATTGTGCCAACCGGAGTCAAAGTGTTAAGAATCGCTATTGGAAATTGGGAAGGTGAGATTGAGGCTTTAATCTTAAAAGAATTACCTGTGCCCCTCGTATTAGGTTTAGATTTTTTGAAATTAGCAAAGCTAGTTATATCACCGAGTGAGAATTGTGCGTGGTTGAGAGAGGACCCAAGTATAAAAATTGAATTTTGACGATCATCTGCAATATCTCTCAATTTAGCTATTTTTTCTTCAAAGAATTGTTCGTGGTTCAATTATTTCAAGAACAAATACCCAAACGTACTGACGACCCGCATTGGCCGGACAAATCTAATGACCGTAAGGTTAAATATAAAAGAAGATAAAATCATCAGAGCTCAGCAGCAACCACGTTGCGCAGCCAGGACAAAAGAAGAGCAGTCTTTGGTATCAGACATATAAAACAACTTGATGAAAGCAAAAGAGGCAATATCCAGTTCGTACAATGCTAAGCGACGGAACGTAGTGTTGGAAAAAGGAGATACAGTTCTGATTAGATCTCATTATTTATCGGCAAAGGTGCATGACCGTACTGCGAAACTAATGCCAAGATATGATGGTCCATTCAGCGTGATTGATAAGGTTTCNAAATTATTTTGATTAAAGAACATTGCTTTAAAGTAACTAGTTTCTTTTTTTTTGTTTAATACCAAAATCCTGCATTATTTTCCGGACAACCCAATATTACCAGGATAACTTTCTTTAAGCCTTTTTTCCATATTCCCAAGTAATCCTTCATTCCTATCACGCACACCAGCCATCCTACAACATAGCTTCTGCTTCCATCTAGCCTCTTCCAGAGAAGGTCCGAAGTATTCGTATGTCGCATCTATTGTAGGTAAGAAGCAATCGAGACATCAAGAAATCGCATCACTATGAAGACCCATGTATCTACCTCTGGAAATACCGACAGAGACTGGACTCAGCTGAAGGGGAAACAGTCAAGGGTCATATTCGACAACCAGGATTCTATCTGTCATCCACCAAGGAAAGGACATCAATTCACACGACCCACGGATGTTAGAATTCAACATGGAGGAAGGTTAACTTCAAGAAATTCAAGAGGCTACCTTAGATGACACTGCTGAAGACACATCCTGATACAACCTTGAGATAGCCAAGCATCAGAGGAGGACTATGTTAAACATATTTATAATAGCATTATATTGTGAAAAAGTTTTTTTTTTTTTTTTTTTTTTTTTGAAGAGGAGATGATTTTCTGACGTTAATATGTTCGAGTAGGGAGACCCTAAGGTTGAGGAAGGACAGGAAAGATGTTGTTGTTCGGATATTGGCTGAGCGTGTTCAAACGAATCTTCCTTCCCCTTATTCCTCTCGAAAGATTTTTTTTTTTTTTTTGTAAGTAAATTTCAATTTTTATTCTTCTATTCTGGACACATACATCAGAGTTTATTAGTTTATTTTTCGTTCAATTTAAATTGTTATTTTTTTACCAATAAAGATTGTACCGTTTTATTTTGATTATCTTTTATTTTGGTCTCGTCACAAAAATTGGAGGCACTGGCGAGATCACTCATAATTTAGAGACAAATATTAGGAGCTATTTTCTTATAATATTATAGAAGATTTGTAGAATATTATATTATAGAACATTTCTCGATTAGATATGGGGAATGTCGAGGATAATCCGAGTTCGGTTGCATCCGAAATGTTGTCGCAATTGGAACAAAACACCCCAAAGACACAAAAGTTAAAAATAAATGAGATGGCCGGGTCCGAATTGATCCCATTATGTGAAATGGTTATGGGGAATGACCAATTCATGAACCTAATGAAGAATATTGTAGCGAACGCCTGCCAAAAAACGAAATTTCATTCCAAGCAGGTGAAAACATTAATAAAGGCATTTGAAAGCCAATTTTAAAATACGGTAAAGAAGACCGTTTTATTTTGATTATCTTTTATTTTGGTCTCGTCACAAAGTTTTTTCTGTAAATTTTCTCTATTTCAGAAGTTAGAATGTTAACACCGTACAGAATTTAGTACTTAGCTGGTAAAATACAATAATTTGTAAAATTGTATATCAACAATTTAGTTATACTTACAATTTGGCAATCTTAGAGACACTTTCGTCGAACAGTTTGCCGCATTTTGGTGCCGTCTCGACGTTCTTGGCCAACGTGATTTTTGAACGTTTGTAGCACATGGCATATTCGAATGCGTAGCTATAGCATTGTTTTTTTGTATGTTTGTTTTTCTTTTGTTTTTAAATTATGTCGAAAGCTTGCGCTATCAAGGATCATATTAATTTACCGAGCCAGACGATCGGCGTTGTAAGAAGTAGACACTTTGTAGTTTTCGATCAGATTTTTCATAGGGGAGTGTTCGAGAAGGAAAAACTCTCCCTCGTGATTGCTCCGCATGATGACGATGTCAATGTCTTTCTTCGCTTTCACCTAAAAAGAAAACGTTTAAACGGCCGTCAGGAAGCCGGAAAAGTTTTTAATTAGCCAAAGTTCTAGGCCTGAAACATGAGTTAGATGGATCGTGCCAGATTAACCACAGTTGGCCAGATTAGCCCAGTTAGTTTCCAGTTGCTGTAACGTTCACACCATCGACGAAACGTTCAGGTCAAATGGAAAATAACACAAGTAAGGGTTTTTAACTATAAAAATTACCAAGTTTCTCAGCGCTCGGAAGCTCTTGATATGTGTTACGTTAACAAAGAGGTCTAACTCCTTGCGAAAAATTGAGTTTTTGGTCAGTAACTCACGTCCGGCGAATTGCATCGGTGTCTTTTCTTCGATATTGCCTAAACACAGGACAAACAGTTTAATACTCATAATATTCAAATAAAATTCAACAACATATTAAAAGATATCACATAACAACTCAAATTCATTACAGAAACTGAATAGAACAGTATAAACTTTCTCAACAAATCTGTGGCAAAAATTAGCAAAAATATATTCAAAGAAAAGAAAAATTCATGAGATGCTGAAAAGCTTTAGTTTGAGATATAAATAATACTAACGGCATAAACTATCGTACGAGCTCATCCACACCACTCATTCAGATACCAAATCGCAAGACTCAAATACTCATAACAATCAATGAGAAAATCATCTTCGAATATGAAGCTACCATTCAATGAAGCCATAACCTGGGATAGAAAGAAAACACAGGGAAACTGCAACGACAGTCAATGATCTAGTACTTAAAAGAAAGATCGAATCGATACACTGTACTAAACAACTAAGAAAGTATAATTATCAAGAAGGCTGCAGTGCTTGAGGAACTTCCTCTTCCACTTCCAAGTCTTCTTTCATCATCATAAACATGTAGAACATCATACGAGCTGACTCAAACTTCCCCACTCAGAAACGAAATTACTAAATTCAAATGCTCATGGCAGCCAACGAGAAAAACATACATGAATCGCAAACAATTAAAATCTTAGTACATAACAAAGGTAACACGTATATAATTAATAAACTAGCAAACAAAGTCACACATACAACAACAAAATGCCACTTACAAAGAGAAAGAAAAGTATGTATTATCAATCTGTTTAATCAATTTGCAAAAACAATTAGAAGACAAAACATTGACGAAACTAATCCACTAAACAAAAATGTGTAAAATACAGAGAAAACACAAAAAACAAATAAGGTCATTTAGGGCAACGATGGGAAATCAAATTATGCAATTTACCTCACACAACGAACCTTCGACAATACAATAAGGTTAAAATTGCTACATGGCGAGCAAAAAGTACGGAAATGGATACTAGAAAATCTAGGTATAAAACACTAAACTAAAAACAACTCACACACGTCATTTACACTATTTAAAACATTTCTAAAATTAAAAATTAAAATAGCCGACGGCAACAATCAGTCAAAAATGCCGACAGACAAAGACAAGATGGCACACTCTTCTTTCACTTATCAAAGAACGCCCCAAAGGGTTTCGACTAAAAATCCACTACTGAAGATTAGATAAGCTGCAACGAATGTGGAGAATTGTTGCAATGGATAGGATCAAAATGATCGGAAAAGCACCAATCTAAAGGTGTACATTACACCAAACTGAAGAGAAAATTTTAAAATTTACCTCTCAAAAATTCACAACCCCGTTGAATGTCATGAACCAAGCGTATGGCCTTCATATGGTGTTCCTAATTCTTATTGTACATACTATGAAAAATTAATGACAAATATTTATCTATCTATCCCGCAGTTTAAGATACAAAATACTTTTTTTATCAATTATTTGTTCACCTTTGATGGCCACTCCGTTTCTTCTGACTGACAACATTGCGTTTTTAAATTCTAATTCGTTGCTTAGAATTGGCATCATCTCGAAATTTATGGGGGCGCCCATGCAGTCGAACACTTCCATGAGGATTGCCATCATCTCGACACCGATCCCAACACCGGGCACAGCTGAAACCTGCGATTAAACACCATGGTGTATGAATTCTGCTATTGTTGTTCGACAAATGAATTTATCTAATTACCTACAAGTTTTCGTTTAAAAAAGTCAAATTCGCATAAACGAATACTTGGTTCATTCTTCTATCATAGAATAACATATTATTATAAAGAATTCACTAATTTTGGTGGTCCGCTTGACCAAACAATATCTTTCAATTAATTAATCTGTATTTGAGGTATTGGTTGAGATAATAAAGTCAGTGTCATAAGCGGGATTCGAACCCACGACCTTCGGCTAAATACGCTGCTGCTCTACTACTTGAGCTATCGTCACTCCGATCGACTCGGACACTAACTTCCCATCTGAACCTCAAAAAAATTGAAAAATGGCAAAATGGCAAAAAGGAGGGAAAATGTAAAAGGTGAGGTTGAGATGGGAAGTTAGTGTCCAAGAGGATCGAAGTCACGATAGCTCAAGTGGTAGAGCAGCGGTGGCTAGTGGAGGTCTCGATCGAAAATTTTTATTGCTCTTACCGCACTACAGAACCATCATTTAACTGCTTACTTGATATATACATCACCTCCAAACGCTCTGTAATGTAAGGGTGAGATTTAAAACGTCATCAGGTTTCGTGAGGATAACCTATCCTTATCAGATTCTCTACTACTGGAGAGGCATCGAGTAGAAAGGCGACTATTCGAAAATCAGCATTTCGCTTGGACCCTTGAACAATAGGGGGCTGTTATCCTCAAATATGAGCACCGGTTTGGTTTGTGGCAATCAGGGAGTGTCTGTGGAGAACGCTTTGCTTCATGTGCCATGAGTGAGGCAATCTTTTGAAAGACAGTCAGTTATGGCATCCTGTGGAATCAACGTTCATGCCCGTACCGGACGGATTATCGTACAGAATGGATCTTTGCCTGTACTAAGTTACACTGAAGAAGTTCTTCTGAAAGCTGTGGTCCCATTCCCTCCATGGGACAACTTCGTGTGATAGCATGATAATGCATTACTTGGAGGATGTATGGATTACGATGTGTAGGAGACTTAAGGCCAGAAGAGGGAATAGACGTTATTAAGAGCAAAATCAGGAAAAAATTGAGTTCAATTTAACTCCATCGCTAAATCAATTTTCCAGTGTTTTGGTGAATTTTCTTTCAAAGCATCATAATTAAATAATTATTATTAAAACTCGTATATTGCTGATATCGTTTAATTTGGATCACATGAAAATAAATACGTTGTAAATAATGTAACGGTAAAAATACATACATGTAAAATGATAAATGGTGGAGTGAGTGGGTTGTTCAATCTTTTTAAAAAAGCTAGTTCTTACTCACAGTTAGTTGCTGTAGTTCGTGGTACAATTAGAACTAACTGTGAGTAGGAACTATATTTTTAAAAAGATATTTATATGCAATTTGAAATAAACAACAAAATACGAATGACCGGTCTTTTATCTTTGAGTAAAACAAACATATCAAAAAATATGTCTATGTAATTGGTCTGTTATGACGGACATATTTTACTCGTCCAGCCATTGAACAATTTTATGTACCTATGGCTTTTATATATAAAAATGATAACACGATTGCCTGCAGCTTCATTTTTTTTAAAGCTCTCAAGCCAAGTGTCCTGCTATAAAACTTCATACATATCAATTTAGTTATTACCTAACGACTAAATATTCTTCAATAGAGAAGGTTCTGTTGAATAAACTGTTGAATCGGTAGAGAAATTTTGTCAGTCACACCGTAAATTGAAATGTGGTGGAGTGTTCATTTTTGTACCTTAACCCCCAAACCCAAATGGTAAAAATAACTTTTAAACCGGAACTGGATCACTTATTGGGTCAGTCTACACTCGTGGGTTTTCTATGTTAGTAAAACACGTTCGGGTTTGCGCCATCTTCAAGGAGAAATTACTTTTGACCGTCAATTTAGAACAAATTGTGTGGTATTTAGTGACCATTAGCCAATGTTTATTTGGAGATCGTGAGTTGCGGTCAGGTGTGATGTAGGATTTAGAAAAACATTTTATTTATCGTGCCAACGTTTCGATCTTTATTGAGATCATGTTCAGGGCTCAACAAAGATCGAAACGTTGGCACGATAAAGAAAATGTTTTTCTAAAACCTACGTCACACCAGACCGCACTTTACGATCTCCAAATAATCATTAGAACAAACAATCTATGATGATAGAGCAAACCCCAAAATCCTTAAGAAGACATTACAGACAATGCAGTTTCAATATTTCTAGTCTTTTTGATGTAGATAGTTGAAACAATCCAAGCAAGCCATCATTTTCTTAGTTTTCTGCTCTTTGATTCATAGTAAAAAGCAACAAATATACAGCTAAAATAGACTGGGTGTGTTCATTGCCGATCAATTCTATCAATTACAGTATGTGTTTTGGTATTTTATTATATTTATTTTTCAAAATTGTTATGACAGGGTGATAGTTTAAAGTGTACTGGGATTTTGTTCAAGGTGTAGCACCAACGATAACTTCATCTTGTTAAATATAAGTTCTTCCTTTGATGAAGATGACACCAAATTTAGCATGAATGATTTTTTTTATTGCAAACCTACTTACAGTGTATTTTCCTCCAGTTTTAGTTCGTGGCATGTCACCTCTAGTCGATCGGCTGAACCATGGGTCGTAATACGGAAAAGGTGAGCTGCGATGCCAATCGGAGGGTGCCTCAGAGGAAAACGACCTTCGAAAACAGTCCCGATATCTTTTCAATATCCTCAACATTTTTTAAAATTTGAAATTTAACAAATTTACATTTAAAAAGTTGGTAAAATTGCAAAATAAAATCCATGTGATTTGTTTTGTTTTTTTCTTTAACGTGGATTGTTTCTGTTCGAAAAGAAAAGTGGAAAAGTTTCAGCCTCTTGGCCATTTCGTGCCAAAGAGAAGTCGCCTGGCTCTAGGAGCAGTCTTAATCAATGCGGTTCGTCGACCGCGGACCGTACAAAGTTTCGTTTTGCAACTTCAAAAGTACTTTCTGACTTAGAAACCTAATCTTTCTGTCCAACTTCCCAAATGCTCCCGAAACAATATTCTCCCTCATTCATTTTTGCCCAGGGTTTGTTTTGTGAAATGAGGAAGTACTCTACTAAGAATAACATTTACAAAAATTGGGAACACGTCACCCCGTTGAAAATTATTTTTGAGCTTGCGATCTACATTTCCAAGGATTAATAGCCAAATTAAAAAAATAAAAATAAAGAAACTTATTTGAAATTAATTCTCATTGGCACTTATGATCTCAGACCAAACAACATGAACCAGTAGTATCACCACGTTGTCTTGAATCTGGAGCGTACTTTATACAAAAGCTTACAAAACAATAAACAGCATAAAATATGTTTAACCAGCTAGTAGGTTAATATTTGTTTTTTACCGTCTGTGAATTTATTTTTTATTTTTTGGACCATATAACAATATAAAAAGGTAAATTAAAATAGATAAAATGGCAGAAATGTCTTACTAAAAAATACCACGTTCAATATAGAAAGGACCATGTGACCTAACTTTGCGTGGTTAAATAAAGCACGTCATCATCATCTATCTTTCACTTTCTATCCGAATCTATTAATCTGATTATTTAACAATCTTCATTTCTATCAACTTCGTTTTTTTATAACATTCTTTCTCGTTCTCACTTCCTCTCTCTTTATTTTTGCCATACTTTTCATTAAAATAACAATTTAAATGAGTGAATGGATCGGATAATTTGTACAGATTGTTCAAAGTTATAGTTGTCGTGATGCTTTCAATGCATAATGCCCGTTGACATATGTTTAAAGCTTTGCGGCAAATCAAACATTGTACAGTCTGTGATACACGATCTGTAAATGTATTTTTTGAAATGTTATTACTATTACACATTATCACTTGAACACTGTTATATCCAGACAATTGTTTTGTAGAATTTAATGATGTGATACATAGAGAACACATTTTTGAACTTATATATGTAAATTTCTGCAGTTTCAAGTTGAAATGTGCTTCCTCTCATAGCGCCCTAAAAATATAATCTAAAAACTCAATTTCGGCATGAAATGTGAAGGTTTTTTCTGGGCGTTTCTAATATTCGTACGTAATTGTTCAGTCATTTTTTTCGTGAACCAAGACACAGCGTGCATAATAAAATTGAAAACTATCACCCTGATTTCGCAAGACAGACGCCATAGAAGGTCATAAGCAGTAAATCCGCTAGCCTCGGATTTGAATGGAGCTCATCACGACATCCCCTGAAAGGGCTCATTGAAGATTAGCTGTCTATGAGCAGCGAAGTGGCATTGGGCGAATCGAAGTCTATCGATTGTGTAGTGTTGAGGGAGGTACTGTGCAAAGATAACAAGCTAACTAGTGTTTAGTGCGGCATCTGGTTTTGAGCCTTGCATGCATTGGCATCTATCCAGCTTGTTGGAAGCATGGCAAGCAATTCTATCGCACGTGAGTCGAGCATGCGTGTAAAACCGAAACATGTGTTTTATTTATTTATTTTCACGAAGCGAGTGTGGTTTTTTTTGTGATGTATGTTTTATAGATTTACATTCGATATTCAACGTTGTCCGGTTCGGTACTAATGAACCGTTGGTGTAGCAAGGTGAGATGGCGAACAGTTGAAAAGGAAACATTTTGTATGTATAACAGGAATGAATCTGTTTGATTAACTTTTGAAGCCTGTACATCGAGGGTTCGCTCGATCTCGCTGCGCACTCGTTTCATAGACACTAGGATGAAATACATCACGACAGGACTGTGTGAACTGCCAACATCTTTGTAAACAGACTTACAGCTCAAATAGAAAGAGTTGATTCAGGAAAAACGGAAAAAAATTTAAAACATTCTTCAATATCTGACTTTTTTTAATAAGTCGGATCGCACTTCCTCGCTTCTTTGTAGTTTGTTTCAGCAGTCTTATAAATCTGAAAAGGTCTAAATTTGCGAGAAATTATGTCTTACCTGATTGATACAGCCGCTAACAAATAAGCCAAAGTCAAGTTTTCAACATTTAGCAACGTTGGTTTATGATTAAAAACTATGGTATAAAGTTTCAGCATTTTATAATTTCTATCGTTTATAATAATGGAAGTTAGAATCAATTTTAAGGAAAGTCATAAGATGGTAGGTTTATAATAGGAAATGTCATCATTGAATCATAAGCAAATGATGTACGTTACTACAACGAATGTGCAGATAATTTATATCAAAAATTAGTTTCTTACACAAATACGTTGCATCCAGACTTCTAATCCTCCATCCAGTTCCATTATTAAATATGTTCATCACTAACAGCATCTCTATATAATAAAACGAAAATTGTATATTTCGACTTATCTTAGATATGTTTGTATGTTTGTCCAGTTCACGAGGAAGGATGGTGCCACCACTGAGGCTCTGGACAGAAGGAGGCCACTGTTCCTTCGGACTCCTCATCTTAAACGAGAAGTGAGTACAAACAGTTGCTATATTCATTCCAGACACCACCAGTTGACTGCTGACCTATGATACCACATTTACCACATTTTCTAGCTTCTGGAAAAATATTGATAACATGTTTTACTGTGATGCACATCTATTTGAAAAACCTCTGGTGTTCTGACCAGAATCTACATAGCTACACACTCAGATTTGTCTGCACCAAAGAGGCTTGCAGCATGTCGGAACCCTTTAAAAATTTCAACCCAGAATTCAACCGCATCATCATAAATTTTAATAAATGCCGGATCAAAAGGGATTTCTACAATTTTAAAAACATCACCATGAAAACTGAGAGACCTCGCAGCTTCACGGCCATAGCTCAGAAATCGCGTTTTTGCACTGCGTTGGAAATATGGTTGAAATCTGCATAAGCTTTACCCTGACCCCACAAATCGAACATGTATGCCACATTCTTGATTAGTTTGTATCTGTAGCAGAAGCTTAGATAACTCTTGCCTTAGAAAGTCTTTTCCGGAATTCCAATATAGTGAGACTAGTTTTTGTTGGTTTGCCTGAGCCAGCTGGATAAAGTTGTTTTTGCTCTATGGTTTTCATCAAATGTAATGATACTATCGAAATTAGGACCTTTAGTGCTATCTGATCGAAGCCGTGTTAAAATTCACAATCCAGTGTTGTGGTCTTAAAATAAATACATTTTAGGCGGTTTTTACCAAATAGTAAATAGACTAACAAATTTAACATGAATAAAATTAGGATTCTTTGAAAGAACAATAACAATATTAGTTCGAATCCCTCTCGTGCCATTAACTTTTTTTCATCTCAACTAAAAACCTTAATTAATTGTCAATAATATTAGTGTTGCGTTTGGTCCAACTATGGAACCAACCAAACCATATATGAAAATTATTCTAGCTTTATAATCAACTGTTTTATTTACAAAATATATGCAGTTTTTAAATAGAATTATCTTTTGATTAATCGAAATCCTGGTTATATTCCTGACAATGACTACTGTCTTTGTAGTAAAAAGCACTTTTTGATAATGGATAACAACAATGGACTTTTTGATAATGGACAATTCTGACAGTAAACCAAAGTAATGGTATCATTATCAACTTCAAAAGTCTGACGTGGTAGTTTAGATTTTGAAAATTGGAACACAGTGGCACGACAGTATGAACAAATTCACTGTTTAAAAAATACAAGATTACTGAGTTTAGTCGTATAGTCTTAATTCTTTCCGTTTCGAAGCCATTTTAATGTTTACAAATCGTCTTTTTTTCTTCTTGTCATTTGGTCGTTTCCGATCTTTTTGGTCTGTCAATCTTCCCTGTTTTAAAATCGAACATGAACGCTTATATGTAAAAGCTCAATTTAAAAAGAGTAACCAAAGTCTTTGGTTTAGTGATTGTCGTAACAAGCAGACCATGGTTGATCAAGGGACGATGAAACAAATGTTACAAAGGCTTAACCATTTACAACTTAAATTCATTATTTTCTACAATGAATCGATAATTTCATGTCTAATCCGAATTTAGTTTTTAAAACTAAATGGCTAGTCTTCCAGAAAGTTTTATCACTCAACAATTTGACGTAAACGTTATTACCTTTAATACATTTACAGTTCAACTAAAAATCAAGCATTTGTTTAGTCGAACAAATAATTTGAAATATAAAAGAATAAACGATTCATTAATAATAATATAACATTATTTTCTTGGTTATTTTTGTCCTTCTTTTCATAGACAAAAATGTCTTTTTTGTAGGCGTTATTGTTTGAAGGTCTTTTAAAATAAAATTTACAATTTTACGTCTTTTAAACCATTATTTGGTATGCCAATGGCACAGGATCGTCGAAACTTTGTAAAATCGTGAATTTTATTTTAAAAAATACCTTCAAATAATATGGCCTATAAAAAAGAAATTTTTGCCAATAATAAGTAAAAATAAAAAAGAGAAGTGTATAACATAAAATTAAATAAACGTTGTACGCATTGTAAAAAACCGTCTGCTTGTAATAAATGATCCATTACAACACAGTAGTGAGTAATGTCTTTTCCAATTAAGACGCATCTTAAAGTAGTTTAGTTCTATTTACTAGGCTATGGTCTACATTGACAAATACTTTCTTCATACCTCCAACTTCACCTAGACATAACTTTTGTCGGTTATTATGTTATCGATTACGCTGTGTTATTGCATTTGATAAGAATTGCGGGAAAGATTTACTGCTAAGAGAAGAAAAAATAGTCCTCTGGTCAGTAGTTTTAGAAGATGAAGATATGCTAATATGGTAGTTTGGACTAGAAATAAAATATTAAAAATGCCTGTTGTTTATGGGTAATAAATGTATTTCTTATCTATCAATATGATCGACTAAATTCTATGTAAAGGATCAATTCAAACGATACTTAGAATGCAGAATTCTGGGGTCTTTCATGATTGATTGTATTACTTACAGTACTCCAATGCCTATTATTTCTAATATACAGATGGCTCTACGACCGAGTATGGTTCAGGAGCTGGTCTCTAAATAAATAAACCAAGGAATAGAATTTATGTCTTTCGGACGGCGAGTATAGCTTTTAAACATTGTGCCAGGATCATCATTAACAAAAAATATCCATCTACACGGACAGTCTGGCGGCACTAAAAACAACTATCTCATCCGTAGTGAAGTCCAGATAAATTTGGGATTACTTCACGGCCCTGTCATATATCGGAGACAATAACAAAATTGTCCGTGTTTAGGTGCAAGGGGAAAAAGAGGCCGATAAATGGGACAAAGAAAGTTTGAAGAGGAGAGCTATTGGTCCTAAACGCTTTTACTTTATACCAATTGCCAAAAACGTAGGACTATCAATGGGTTAAGAACTCCTAGATTCGATGGGGCACAGAGGCGTGCGAAAAAGTTCATTAAAGTACCATTGCAGAAACTACTGGCAGAACTATTTAAACAAGGGCGTGTTAAGCTGGGTTTCCACTGTGCGAAACTCACTCGCGAATCTTGTCTCGCGTTGTGGAGATCTAGCCGAGACTGCGAAACTTTTGGCGCGAGCATTTCGGGGTAAGCCGACCTGCTGTCGGTTTTTTAGAGCGCAATAAATTGTTTCGTGTGTTTGGTTCAAACCGTGTAAACGCCCTTTTCTTTAGTATGAATATTAACCAGGAAGAGTTCATTAGATTTATCCGGATGTATCACAGCTACTGATTTTTGTGGGATAATGAAGATAAAACATCAGAACAAGAACAAGAGAGAGGACAAGAATGATAGTTGGATTGCTTGCTGGACACTTCAGATTCGGCAGAAACAAGCCTGTCCAGATTTTGGGAGAAGAAGAAGAAACTACGGAACATGCCCTCACATTAAAAAAATCAGCTGCTAATTGGAACGTCGCGTTGGCGGAGGTATCAGCGGGTTCACTTTGGCAATTCATGTCGAGAGACGTGTTTGTAGAAGCCCTTCAATCTGATGATGAGCTAAAAGGCTCGAAATCCGGTCGTTGCAAAACAACTTACTGTGAGTAGGAACTATCTTTTTAAAAAGGATTGAACACCACACTCACTCCATCATTTATCATTTCTATGAACATGCCCTCTGTCGGAGCGAAGGCCTATGTTGATATTGCCTATTCATTGGTGAGAGAAAGCTCCCATTAAAAACAATTTCCTCATTCGAGCAATGGTCCACTTCCTTAAAATGTAAAACAATTCATACATAAGTAAAATCTGAAGTAAGGGTTTTCGATCAAAACTGAAGGTTTTGTTCCTAACTTCTATGTGGAAATCAACAATCCACTATGATATCTGTAACAGTGCTTCCTGTTGTAAGCGGGCGCCAACTCTCTGTTTGCTTATTGCTAAGTGACAAGAGAACATTCAGCGTACACGCTTAGATACATTTTGTGAGGGGGAAGGCAAGGTTTCAAATGATAATTGATCAGAGATATATTCATAAACGATCATTGTTACACAGGCCTGTCTTAATATTGTACGAAATAAACGGACATTCAAACAAGGCGTCAGCCACAACTCTACTTCTGGGGATGAGCTTATAGAGTACTTAGGAGAGGACTTAGGACGATGTTGCTCGCGAACATCAGATTCCACATCGTTCGTGCCTTCCAGGATTTTCTTCCGGTAACGTACTGGGTCACCTCTTTTCGACTTGTCGCAATGGCTAAGTCCATGCTGGCTGACTCTGACTGCTGTCCCCCAGACTGAGTGTGGCTGCTTGACCGCTCTGAACTGGACCTTGGATCGACTGGTCTTGACTGAGTCCTCGAGTTGTCTGAGTTTGCTTTTCAACATCCCCTTTTTACCCGTTCCCAACCAGGTAAGGGGAGGAAATGAAAAGCAAAAACTGCTGGGTCAGATGGGCGACTTTCTTCTTGTAAGGAGCACTAGAGCAACCAACAACTACCACCAGTTAACACAGAACTAGGCCTTTACATTGAAGAAAATCCCGAAATGACCACAAATTTATGGTCCCACAGTTCGATCAACTGTACCTGTGAGGACCTTCCCACACCAAATAACTCCTCGACTTTAGTTATTTAGTGGACAGATTATTCGTCTGTCGGTTTCATCTACTATGCTTTACTTATTACTATGTTTTCCAGGTTTCTGGAGAACGTATCGGATACATCAGATTTATGGCCTTATTTTTTACAACTATTTTTAACTTATTTTAACGACTAATCCTAACTTATGCTAAGACAGGGACCGGCTTCCACTAACATTATACAGTCTAAACTATTCCAGTAACCAGTTCCTCAAACCAATAATCGTATCTAAGGCTGAATCAGAATGAAAAATTTCACTTTCAGTCCAGTCTGCTAGTAATCTTTTCTCCTCTTATCATTCTGAACTAGCAAGAACACGTACGAAAAAACTAATGGTCGAAAAAAATTCCTGTTAATCACTTTAAAGAGGATTACTATTAAAAATGTATTCGTTAGGGATGGATGTTAGTACTGACAATGACATGCGACCTCATACCGGTG